CCACGGAGGCCTACTTTGCAGACTTCGAGAAAACGTATTTTTTCAGATGGATTAAAGAAGTTAGAGCATCGCTGGGTCAAGTGTATCGAGCTAAAAGGAGATTATGTTGAGAAATAAATCGCCACTTTTCCAAAATTTTCGTTTTTCTTTTGTAGGCTAAGTACTTATCGGACCGCCCTCGTATATATATATGTATACTTAACATATATTAATTGTGTCTTATCGCGAATCTCACATCTTGATGATGATGGTATGCTTGTGTCTTTCATATTTTTTAATGACATCTCGAAAAAATAATTAATGGGTGTTATATATATATATATATATATATATATATAAAATACCTATTAATTTCATCGTAGCCATCGCGTGTCGGAGAATAATGGCGGCCAAGTGTTAATTTCTTTTAAGAGGTTTCGATTAAGAGAAATTTCCGTGGTTACGATTAGGAGAAACTCACGGTCGATAAATTTACACTTGGCCTAGTTTAATCGAAGCTCGTCGCATCGCCCACAGTTGTCTGTTGGAAGTGAGCTAGTAGACGACGAAAATGGAGCACTAATCGTCGTAGTGTTAGAGATCACTAATAATAAGAATGCCTAGTATGTCATTAGTCTGCCGGTTGAATTCACGCACAGTCCGCATATTCTCCTTTAATCTGTTGATATGCTCTTCGCATCTTTTTAATGAGAACCGTAATCGGAAAGATGAGGAAAAAGAAACAATGTAACTGTAGGAGTATGAGAAGTTCTAGCTGTAGATTTTACGGTTATTGCGATCCGATCAATGTAACGTGAAGCTTGAAATCAGTTCACGTTTATCGCTGTGTAAAGCGAACTAATAATTATGTACATATGAAAACTGTCTTATTATTGTTGCTATATTGTTTAAGAATTGTGGCTAAGAATATAATGTACGATTATTACAACTGAAAACACTGAATGTTCCATGCGCTCTCCTCAATCTAAAACGGGATATTAACATCTCGATCGCTTTTGCAAACGAAAGAAGTTTGTGAACAAAATAATTTAAAAAATATTACGTTTGACATCTCTCTCTAACAGTTAAACATTAATTTATTTTTAACCATCAATTTCTCTGACATTTTACTGTCATTGTGTACGATCGTGAATAATGGCACTTTTGAGGTCAGTATTCCTTTTTGCATCATTGTAAGTAGCATCTTGTTATCTCAAGATAAATATTCATGGTAAAAGAGTACATTAAGAGTACATTAAAATATGAAAAGGAAACTTTCCAGAGAAGAGAATATGTACTCTGTGCTATTCAAGAATTATATCGCAGTTCGATCGAAATTTTAGAAAGGTTTTTAGAAAGATTGTAAAATGAGATGCCAATTTAAGAAAAAGATCTTACATTGCGTAAAAACGAAGTAAGCATAAGAAGTACCAGTGACGAAATTCCTTCCGTAAGACGCTTCAAAAATTAATGGAAAGTTTCGTTACACCCTGAAGTAAGGAGTCGTTAAAAACAAATATCGTCCACCCGATAAAGAACCGCGATAGAGCTCTCTTGAATTTGTTGGAAATTTAGTTATACATCGTTAGTTCGCAAATATATGTATATTATTAGACGTAATATTACTTTTTGATTATATTTTATTTTATGCGTTTATTCTTGAAAAAATGCATTAGAATACAGTAAATGTCACGAAATAACGACGTGATACAACACGAAGCCCGAGAGACGCTTCATTTTTATACATTTTTTACAATTGAGGAGGAAAAATTTCTCATACATAATTTATATATATAGGATATATCCATATATAAAAATATATAATGATATACTTCTATATATGAACATATTCCATATATATATATATAACGCCATATATGTAAATATTTATAAATATATCTAACTATGTACGGACAATTCTTTCTCTGGATGTTTCGTAAAATTTATATTACCTTCGCAACTTCGTATTCTGAACTCACTTTTGTCGACAAAGTGTCTCCAAAGATACCTCAGGAACCTAATTATCTGAGAAGCCGCATCTACGGCACTTTTATCGACAAAACTGACAACTGACTTGTGAGTTCAGAATGGTAGATGATCGAGGTTAACGTCGAGAGCTCTTTCATATTTTCGCGCGCGCCGTCGCAAGTGTCACGTGGGGTTCGGCGGGCGCGCTGTAGGCGGCGCCAGCGGCGTGAATGTGGCGCGGCGCGCCGTTGCGTCAGTGTTCCGCGAGCTTTCGTCGTGTTCTGTTCGTTTCGTTCGCCTGGATTTGTCGTCTCTCGCGAGTCACGGGAGGGAGGGAGTGAGTCGCCTTAGCCGCCGCCGCCTGCCGCGAGAGCCGCCGAGAACCGCCACGAGACAAAAGTGCCTTCTTCCTACGCCGCGTACGATACACTTCGAGATGGCGGACGACAGCCACGAGAACGGCACCAGTAACGGCGACGTGCCGGAGATCGAGCTGATCATCAAGGTGAGTGTGCCACACACGCGCTTGAGGATCGTCGTAGCGAGATGGTTACTTCAATGGGGGGGAGAGGGAGAAGGAGGTAGAGGAGGCAGGTGAAGACGGAGGAAGAGAGGCGACCGTGTCCCGTGCGCGCTATATGGGCGTGGAACTACCGGGGTTTCCTGCGGGAAACCCGCAGAAGGTCTCGCCGTTTCATCTCCTGGCGACGAGGCAGAGCCTCGCGACCGTGAAAATAGACGTTGGGTGAGCGAGCGAGTCGCGCGAGATCGTCCAGCCGCGGAAATAATTCACGACGTGACCGTTGACCGTTACCCCGTTCGCCGCGGCGTCCGGCCGTCTCTCCTCCTCGCTCGCCTTTTGTTTTTATTTCGCGTCACGCTCGCGATGAATGCCGCCGGGCTGCCCCTCGTCCTACGCATAAGGATCGCCGAGGACCCGAGCCACTTGGCGGACGGGCGAATGAACGAGTGGAGGAACGGGGACGCGGCGGTGCACGCGGGTGTAGTACGCGCGTACGTGGTGCGTAATAACGTCGCTCGTTTGCTTTCGAGTGAGCGAGCCGACGTGCGATCCCGTTGGCGAAGGCTCGCTTTGGCGGCCGCACGTGCGACCCGAGGACGTCGGCTCGCATCTAACGTTCAATCAGCCACCTCGGAACCGGTTTAGCGCCGCTAAGAGAGAGAGAGAGAGGTCGATCCCCGGTGGCACGGGCGCGCGAAAATGACCCTTACGCGCTGACCGTTTCCGTCGTCGCGTACGGAGTCCGTCGGCGCTGGCTCATGCCTTCGGCTGCACTTTCTGCACTCGGCAGGCACTCGTAACTCCGTAACGTCGAATTTCAAAAGTCACTGGTCTCGATCGATCCGCCAAAAGATTCGAGAGAGGGAGAGAGAGGAATAACCCGAAGACGGATGTAAGCCGAGCTAAATGACTGCCTTTATGCGATACAAGTGCGAGAAGACAGAAGTTGAAGCTTGATGTGTACCAGAGGAAGCGTCCTCTCTCTCGCTCTCTTTCTCTCTCTCTCTCTTTCTCTCTCTCGCGTGTTATACGCTACACATTTCTTTACGCATGGAATCATCGAGGGCGCTGACGGACCATTCGCGCCGCATGCTGCTACTTCTTCGTCTGTTGACCGTTTGTGTATTCAGCGGGCTCGACATATACGGCGCGATAGGACACTGCGAAAAGGCGGCGTCCCTGATGCCGTATGCGATGTTGACCCTCGCTCTCGAGACGAGAAAAACGAGCGCTCTCAGATGGCAAAAAGTTGTGTACGTGAAAAAGAGGGAGAGAGGGGGGACGGTTTTCGATCGGAAAGCAGTCGCGGGAAAACGAAAGGGAGCCGCCAATGATCAGCGCGCGACCTGGCATTTCGCGAAACCTCGCCCTCGCGAGTTTTCGGCCACGCACGAACGGCGAGAACGTACGGCGGTGATATCGGATCGCTGGCGCGATACGTTGATTCCAGTGCAAATTCCGAGCCCGTCGGGGCACTTTCGCCGTATCTTATCACCGCAGCTCGCCGCGTTCCGAGATCTCGCGGTCTGATCGCACGCTGCTTATCACCCGTATCGGAGGCATTGTCGCCGGTGAAATATTTTATCACGGGGAAATCTGCCGCGCTTTGAATTCGAGCAGCATCGAGTCACGCGGAAACTCGCGGCGCGTAGCGCGCGCTCTGAATTTTTCTTATCATCTCGCGTTCTGCTCGAGTAATAATCGATTTAAAAACGATTTGTGGAAGCATCTATCATTCGAAGGTTTCGGATAAAAACTGTTTTCTTCCATTTTCCCATGGATTTTTTAAGTAATAATAGTGATAACTTTATCGGATGATAATATAACGCTAATGTATAAATTTAATATACTAAATAAATTACATTTTTTTATACCAGATTAT